TGCCACATTTGTTAATAATCATCCTTTTTTTTGTTGTTTTGCTTGTTTTCAAATGCTTTTCTGGTTCTAGTGGATTCTGGTACAACAGCATATGCTGTCCACCTTAAAAATCTTCAACTGAACACAGAAAAACTATGTGAAAAAATAGCGAGAAGGGACAATTTCCTGATTATTTTCTTGTGTGGCATAAACTTGTGGCAAAAATCTGCCTCTCTAAATGCGTGTGTGTAACCCATGCATCCTGTAGGGACAGGTGAGAACCATAGGCTTGAAAGCAGGAGTTCTGGAGCCTTGCATCTAGCTTAAAATGTTACTCAGCTCTCAGTAGTGCCAGGGCATGTTTCATATAGATGTCCTCAAGCAATAAGATAGACATAGTCCACTGTATTTCAATAGTTGATATATCTGCTACTCCACAAGTAGTGTTTCTGTTTGTCATGTGGGTATAGAGAACCAGAAGGAAGGAGGAGTGAAGGCAAATCAGTGATGTGTCTCTTTCCGAACACTGTTGTTGGGTCATCTTGCTTCCTTACACCTTCAGGCGCAAATGAGACTCACAGCAGTTTGCTTTAATATTGTAAAGACACAGAGTCTTGTTCACACTTCTGTACAGTGCCTTCTAAGAGTCTCGTGAGTAAGCCAACATTTGGTGACTAGCTGAAAAAGGAGAAGATTCTTGATGCCTAGAAGACCAATAAAGAAACAAAACCCAAAGCTTTCTATTGTGAGTGGAGATCACACTTCTAATTTCCCAGCCAGTTCACAGTGAACAAAAGCAAGTTGTTTAAACTTGCATCTAAATAGCCTCATTTGGAATGTCTCTGCAATCGCAAGAGGTGCTAACAAAGATGAAGCATCAATGTAAGAATAATGAGTCAGGTTTTTCTGTGGAGGACAGTTGAAGGCAATTTTATAGGAGTCTCTGTTTTTGTGCAAAATTTTCTTCCACTTGAAATATGTGGAAGTGAACGGCACTGGACAGATGACCCAATTTTAGTGTCAATTCCTTCCCTTCTCCACCCCCCCTTTGTCAAAAATGACAGGAAATACACACTGGACATCTGAAAACCGTTCAGTAAAGTTTCAACACTACAACCTATTGCTACATTGTAGTTTATTGCACATTCTGATTATTTTTTTAAACACTTTTTTTTAACACTGGTTTGTCTTAAACTTGAATCTTGCCTCAATGTCTGATACAATAATCTTTGATGCAAGGTTGTTTTTTTAATTAAAAGTTATTTCTATACCTGGTGTACACAGTCTCAATGCGACAGCCTTTTGCAAGAGGTGCAGGAAGAACAGCGATGCTTCTCGTGGCGCAGAGGTCTGGGCTCTGCAACCTGCCAGGGCAGTGGTGCCAGGCAGGCTCTGAGGCTAACGCTTCCCGCAGCCCCAGCTGAGCTCACCGGTGAGTCTTCCATTTCTGGCTGCTGCTGCTGGAGCCGAGTGCCTGGGATGCTCCGCAGGGCTCCCGTACCTGTGTGCACGCACTGGGGAGTCTCGTGGAGCCGCTGCGACGCTTTGCTCCGAGGTCAGGGCTTTCTGCTCTGCCTCATCCCTGGGGCAGTGCGAGATGTTTCTGCAATTTAGAGCTGGAACAAAGCAGAGCAGCCAGCTGGATGCCGAAGTTGTTGACTTGAAGGCGTAAGCAGGAAACGGAAATGCAGTCCAGTCTTTTATATCAAGAGGTGAGTGTCTAGCTGGGGAAAAACAAAAATGTTAAAATGAGGCAACAAGAAAATTGAGAAAGGAGAAGGACCATGTTTGGTCAGGGTAGTGAGCTGCCCTGTGTAATCACGTGTTCACTTTGGGTCCATCTCAGGGCTAAAGCAACTGCTTGTCACCTTGCCAGCTGTAGGGCCACTGGCTTCCTGGCACAAGCGAGGAAGTCTCCCTGTCCTGGCTCTCAGTGCTTTGGCTTAGCCCTTGTGTCAAACAGGTAGTGCCTCATGCCACAGCGATTAAAAGCTTGGCAAAGACAGATGGGATCCAGCAAAAACAAGAAAAAAACTCCGTAAACTGGACTAATTTAAAAATACTTATTTGGTCGCATCCACCCCCCCACACCCTGCCACCATCAGAAATCTTTTCTGTAGCGTTTGCCTCCTGGCTGGCTTTGCAGCAGCAGACGGTGACGGCCGCCCCAGGATGAGCTGCTTGTAAGAGCACCCCCGCCCCGTGGCGCCCAGCCGAGCCTCCGCCTTGGAGCTGCGCCACGTTCCCGCTGCGTGGGTCGCTGCCGGCAGGTGAGAGGCGCGCGTCAGCGGGGAGGTGAGGCTCAGGGTGACGGGGACGGGGCCTCCTGCCTCCCGCAGCCTCCATCTCGCAGGGGCAGCCCTGGGATGCGCCACAGGTAACGCAGCCAGTGGAGAGGCTTTCTGGCAGCTCCTGGCCGCGCTGCTCACCCAGCACGGCTGCCTTGCTGTGCAGCTGCCGGAGGGACAGGGCTTCTCGCATCATTCCACTGCTGGCACAGGTTTGGCAAACCTGCCTAGCAGAAGTTGGGCATGGGACTGTCCTCTTCCTTTGATCTCTTGTCCCCATGCTGGGTGGTAGCGCGTGAACCCACAGCTGGGCTCGGCGAGGAGCTGGGCTCCCACGTTCACTTGGTGGCTCGTGTGAATCCTGGGGAAGCTGGTGGTGGGAACATGTTGAGAGCTCCAAGCTAGGCTCGTTCTTGAGACATAAAACGTGCAAAAATCCCCTGCCTATTTCTCCTTTCCAAAATTTTAAACAACAACAAAGCTGTTTGTTAGATGCTAAGCTGTAAAAATATCTGTTAGTGCTGCTTGCAGTGTTGTGACCAAAGAGTGTAAGGCTGGCTGTGAAATTACACGGCATGAAACTTGGGTGATGCAGCCTATAGAGGAAGCTACTTCCCTTGTGCTTGGTTTACCACTTAACTTTCAATTGAGAATTGAAATTTTTGTTCTACTCCCTGCAGCTATGAGGGTTTAAACAAACACTTGTTTCATCTCCATATGCAGGAGGCTGCATGGGATGTAAGTACAGGTGCAGAATTCTGTATGCCTCTGTATTTATAGCTTCTATCTCCCACAATGCTCCTAACCTAAGAGTAATCATCAGAAGTGCAGGCTACAAACTACCCACTTAAAAGCAATGGCAAAGAAGTGAGCAAACCCTTTGGGAGAAAACAGGCTTGATTCTGAGGAACTCCGTGGTTCCTTGCTCAGAAAAAAGCACAGCACACGCAGGTAACTGGCACTTCTTCGTCACCCCCCTCCCCCCGCTCCAAATTAATAATAAAAAAAAAAAAATAGTTGAGGTCAGCTGCAGGAGGCAGGAATACTGCCACTGTTATGGTTTTCAGTGACATGAAAAGCCACATTTCTGAGTTAGAAGCCACCTTTCCTATAGCTGTGTTTTGTGACTGCTTATTCTGCATTTTAATTACAGGAGACTGGACTGCTTTTATATACAGAGCATGCTAGTCTCTAAACAGCTTGTTCCAGAATGAGGAAGAGCTGTTCTAATGCATCTGAAAGCTTTGTGACCCTCTCCTAGCCAAGCTTGTTTCTCCCCACAGCCGCCTTCTGAAAGGTGCCATCCAGGTGGTAGGCCCAGGTCACACCATTTTTCTTTTGCTACTTCTCAAGTCGGGGACGAAAGTGGAAATAGGAAGCGAAGACATTTGTTCATCTAAACCACGATTAACCACAGGCAAAAAGTCACTTAGCCATTTCAGAGAGGTTCACCTAGGCTGTCTGTTGCTAGGAGCCCTCGCGGTTCCTGAGCACATTAGCAGGGGGTGCACCCACCAGCACCACCTCAGCGCGTGGTAGGGCACAAGCTGCTTTGTTGTAGGGGCAACAGATCCATTTGGGGCCTTACTGAGCAGCAGATCATTTGCAACCCTTTTATAATTACAACTTGCACAAAAAAAAAAAAAGATACCAAGCAGAATGCTATAAAATATTAAAGGAGTCAGCAATGCTAACTAGGGCCACAGGAAGCGGGTCTAGCTAAAATACACCACTGAGGTTGTCATCTGGTGGGTTTTAATTCTGCCCCCTTTAACGGACCTGAATAGCAACAGAGTTCTGGCAAACCGGAGGTAGGAAAACCTAAAATTAAACTTCTTTACAGTTGACTCCACACAGGGCCATGACATATTTCAACCTGCACACATTGAAACCACCTGCGTTAGCGATGACATTCCAGTCTGCCCCTCTTGAGCACTGACTCTAAGATGGAGTACACTGTGGGCAAAGATCCAGCACATCAGCTGCCTGTAGGCTTTTAGAGCAAGAGTCTCCTGCTGGTGGAATCCCATCGCTCCCAGGCTTTCAGACGGCACTGTCTCAAGGGGCTACTCGTAGAGAATGAGAAACCACTTCCCAGTCTGTGACCTGGCTGAAGGTATAAGCTGAGCTGTGAGACTGAATGCAGGTCAAGTATTGAACAGCCTGCGGTTTGTGCAGGAAAAACAAAGGGAAATATTTCTGTCATGCGTGAGGCTTTTTACTCCCATCAAGCCACACTTCTCCTAAACCCACTACCAAAGCAACTAATTTTTAAACATCAGCTAGAAGAGACTTACCACACCAAGAGAAGTGTTTAATTCAGCCATTGGAAAAGTTCGGTAGGAATGCACAGATCAAATGACAAAATACAGACAGCAGAAGGCAGTTGCATTAGAGTCTTCCACAAGAAATTGCATCTTGCGATGCTACACTCTTCTAGCAAGCAAAAACTGACGGAACTTTAGTTCATCCCAGTCAGCATTACAGGTTGTACTACAAAATTAGCCTCCACAGAATCAAGAGACAGGTTCAAACCATTGCATTTCCAACCCTGAAAAAACAGCCGCAATGTTTTTTTTTTTTTAAGCTGCTGCTTTCTCCATTGCAGCAAAGGAATGATTCTTCTGTTCAGCAGCAGCAAGTTTCCACAATTAATGCCATCCAGCCCTCCCTTATGCTCGAGAAACCTGGGCTTGCCAGCGCGCAGAGCCTTGACAGCTGCTTGGGCAGGTCTCATCGGTCCAGGCACCGCTTCTGAGCAGCCTCTGAGCACACGTTTCTGAGGAGGTTGATCACAGACCTGGGGTCTGCGCTCTTCATAATGGCGCTGCCAGAGACGATCATGTTTGCACCTGCCTGGAGGATATCAAACAACCCACTCAGTAACATGCAACAGATGCATTTCGTAAAGAGCGTCTCACTGTAAAATCGGGGCAAACGCCAAACTCTCACAGCTTTTAGGGCACAGGTATCATGCCTCTAACTACAACAGCAAATCAATTTTTGGAAGAAGACTGCTCATCCCAAATAGGTTTTCTTGAATTCTTAATTGTTCCTATTTAAAGTACAAACTAGAACCTGGGCATACAGGAAACAACCCCTCCATCTTGGGGGAGGGTGCAGTGGCTACAAACCAGTCACAAGATTATACCTTAGATCTGAAGTGGATTTTGATACTAAATGTGCTTTACTGCTCCTTTTAAAAACAGAGTGTAAAAAAAACCTTCAAAAAAATTTTTGTTCTGCGAGAAGACTGCACCTTTTAAACCAGTTTGCAAGCGCTATTCTTTCAGCCTCTTACCTCTGCACATTTATGGATGGTGTCAGGCCCCACTCCACCATCCACTTCGATATCCAGCGAGGGAAACTGGGTCCTCAGCCACTGAACCTACAAAACAGCAAAATGAAGTTTAGCACCAGGAGCTGAGTGGCTATTACAACATGCAGCTTCTTAAAGCGAAGTGAGGCTTTGCTCACCACTACACTCTTTATTTCAAGTTCAGAAGAAAACTGCAGAGGAGATGTGTTTACCTTTGGCATCATTTCTTCCATAAATTTCTGCCCTCCAAATCCAGGTTCTACTGTCATCACCAAAGCCATGTCAATCTGATTGGCCCAGGGAGCCAACTGTTCAACTGTAGTCGCAGGTTTTATCGCCAACCCCACCTACGGATGAGGCACGACAGATCCAGGTGTAGCTTTGTAAAAGAGCTAACACCTAGGAACCAAAGCAGAATCTGTAAGCGTGACTGCAGCGAGGGCCCCTTTAAAGGCCGGGTGTGGATTTCTGACTGAGGTGCGTGCCAGGCGCCCACCTCACCTTCATGCCGTTCTCGCGGATGTCTTTGATGAGCGCACCCGGGTTGTCGGTGGCCTCCAGGAGGAAGGGGTACTGGTTGGAACCCGCCACGGCCATGGG